TTTTTTTTTTTACTAAAATTATATATGAAAATGATTTGAGAAACTAACAACAGTGATTATACAATATTGAACAAATGTAAAATTTATTTCATCTTACCTTATCACATCAGACTGTTCAAAAGAAAAAAGAAATAGTACGTTAAATCATTTGGCTGTCTCGATGCCACTAGGCATATACATATCGAGTATTTTTTTTTCTTTTTGCTCTACTACCATTACTTCTAATAATGATCGAATGCATACGTGTCAGCTGTTACAGAAAAGACGCAAACGCTTAATCTCAAATCAATAGAAACAAGTAAAAAAGAAAAAGAAAAAAAAAGAGAAGAAAAAAAAGGAAAAGAAATGGAAAGAATAGCATCTTAGACTTTTTATAGGTGTTGTGCTTTTTTGCTCGTTTATGTTTCTTAGTAGTTCATTTTAAAATTATTTAGTCACGAAGAAAAATAGAATGAACAATCTGTCGCTAATGGTGAGAAAAGTAATCGAGGATGGTTTGACAACACATTCAAAGAGGAAAAAAAACCGGAGGAAGAACGATGCGTATTTTTCTTGCTTTCTCTTGAATTTTATATTTACTTCAACACCGGCACAAAATCATAGAGTTACAAGTCAACATTGAACAACATATAGCAGGATGTAGTTAGTTTCAATTGTTTCAAGTCTATAGAAAGACGTTTTTATTTTCAAATACAAGGATTTTTCTTCAAAGTCATACGTTTTTTTTTTATGATTCACTATCATTGTTACGCTAATCGATTGTTGACATTGTTCAAAAACAAACTTCAATCAAGCGTATTTGTTAAACAAACATACTGAAGTATAATAAGACAAACAATATCAGTAAAATTCTTGTTTTTTGTATTTATGTGACAATGATTTTTGTGAAAAGATAAATCAGATACAAGAACACGAAATGAACAAATAAAAATGAACAATAATCGGATAAGTTTCATTCAAGTTTTGTCATTTGAAAAAAAAACAAAATCTAATAAAAAGTATAATCTTTGTGTCAAATAATTTTTCAAGATAAACATATTATTGTCATTTTCTTTAATGGTAGTAGATGATTTTAAATCATCATTAATCAAGTATAAATAACTATCCCGTTGGCACATAAGTTCTGCACGTTTGGATCAGTAGAATTATATTGCCAACATAAAACTACATTTTAAGGAAAGTAATTATATATTCTGATAGCGCTCGACATTCTCTATCACCTTCTGTATTTAAGTCTTGACTTACATTTATTTGCTGAAAAGTATTTTGAGTACAGTGAAGACACCCTTACCCACATTGATAATATTCGAAATATTTGGCAGCAAATAAATGCAAGTTCAGATCTGAATATAAAGAATGACAGAGTATTTCAAGGGCTCTCAGAATATATAATTACTTTTCTAAAGAAACGGATTACTGTATAGATAAATATTTCAAAAATGCATAAGAAAGGGACAAAAAATGGAGTTCGTGGAAATCTGAAGATGAGGGTGTCTTCACTGTACTCAAAATATTTTTCAACAAATAAATGCAAGTCAAGATCTAAATACACAGGATAATAGAGGATTTTGAGCGCTATCAGAATATATAATTACTTTCCTTAAAATGTAGTTTTATGTTGGCGATATAATTCTACTGATCCAAACGTGTAGAACTTATGTGGCAACGGGATATTTCATTCTAATATCATTAAACTTTCATGTATTGATCAATCAACAAGTTAAATGAATCATGTATGGAACGATAAAGAAAGCAATCTTTCAAGTTTCAAGGTCAATCATACTATTATATTATCAAGTGTTATTTTAAGTAAAAAGTAAAGAATTATATGCAATTAAATATTTGATAATATTGAATAAAGAATTTATTTTATTGAAAAATCAATTCTCTTTTTTTTTTTCTTTTCGACAATAAATTTAATTTGATAATCAAATATAAATTGATCAATCATATCACTATTTTTTATTTTGCGTAACAAGAAAAATATAATATCTGATATATCAATATGAAAGTCATTACATTTGGGTATATAACAATGTCAAGGATATCATACATTTTGCTATTTATAAATTGATTCTAATTAGTTGTTCACATTATTTTTATTTTTTTTTTCTTAGAATGAGGCCAATCAAATATATTGTATAAAGCTACATATATGAATATTATGCATGTTGTGTAACTTTAATTTCTATTTCATTGAAAGTACATGTGAAAAAAAAAATCAAATGTGAATCGTATCATTTCAGTCAAACTCTCGAAATTATTCATACATTGTATTAAAATCAGATCGAACTATATTCATGGACATGCTGATGGCTATATATAAAACTTGCTCATGTGTGAATAATTAGGACAATTGAATTGAGTTTTTCGATGAAACATATAATTTCGTGACACTTTTTTTTTCCTTTTTATGACTTTCTTTCTTCGGAGGGATACCAATTGAAATCAACTAATAAGCGATCAATCATTCGTTATATTCATGTTGAATCACATATATAAAAAGAAAGGGGGATAGAAAGAATCAGTCAAGCTAGGAATAATGATGATTATTAACGACGAGGCGTTATTGATACGACAATGAACATAACAAGCATTGTTTCTTATATACTCATCTATTATACATGCAATTTCTTTTCTTTTTCTTGCGGAGGTTGACACCTATAACCTCTTCGACTTATTGAATTTCTTCATCAATTTTATTATTTTCTTCTTTCTATCCCAATTTTTTTCTTTTCTTCGCCTTTCGTTCTTTTGTATTCATCTGTATATAAACCTGTGCGACTAATATCATTTCTAACTTCTAATTTAGTGTCTTTATAGATACAATTCTACTTTTCTTGCAATATCAAGTATATACATTCATAGTGAATCATTATCGGTGAGTAAACGTTTTTTGGTCTTTTGTATATTCAAAGAATTTTAAGAATAATCATATCTGACAAGCAATGATTCATAAGAATACAAGTCGCAGACATAATCATGCATAAGCAAAAAACATATCTAATCATAATGTAGGCAAAGAGAAAATTTGTTAAGATGTAGGCGATGACAAGTATGGTAAAATGATTTTTCTATATAAAATGAAATTATTCCTGCTGCGAAAACGATAATATTGAAAACAATAATAGTAACACGTTTGTATTTTTATAAATGTATTTCATACAAAGATGTTTCTAGAGAGTACGAGAAGGAGGAAATTATATACAAAACTTTACATTTAGTTGCGATCATTATCCTGTAGTTGTTCTTTTTTGAGTAATTCCAACGAAAAATAATAAGCTCGACTGAAATCCTTTCCTATTATAGTCAAGATTTTCTTGTCAGATTAGGAAGTAACATATAGTAAGATATAGTTGATTACAGACGATGGGATCAGTTCGTGTTTTTTTAGTAACCGAACCAATCCCATCTCTGGTTTATTAGTCATTATTGTAGATGCTATAATTCATAATTGGTTCTTTATGACAAATTCTTATGGTAAACTTGTCAGAAGAAAACGCGATATAATCGATATATCAATTATTATAGACATACTTCATATGTTGTTAAGTGCCGCTCTTGTAAAAACATCCACCCAAATTGTTTTTCTTGTAAACACTTCTCCATAATAGAAGATTCCCCTTGAGAAACGATGCATTGGACGTAACAGAAGACATCCCTTAATTAATTAATTAATCACAAAGTTGAAACTTTAATTAGTATATTTACATCAAGATATGCCTAGTTTTCCGAATTTTGAGCCAGAATATTTTAAAAGACTACGGTGAATATTATTTCTGAGCTTTTAAAAATTCTAAAAATCTCTCTCCGAATCTTCGAAATAGTTTTAATTTTTTGAAAAACTCTTTGAATTAAAAATTATGAAAATCAATGAGACACACAATAGAAGATTCTCCCCTGAAAAATTTTTATGCTTAGAGTTAATAGAAGATCTAATGTCTTCTATTGCAGACGGGAAGAGTTGTTAAATACATCAATAAATTATTATTTGAATTATTAACAATAACATTGACAAGTATTTACTATTTAGATTTGTTTGCAAAGTAATGACTGCTTTTCCTTCATTCACGTTACTATTATTATTATTCATGACAATTTTATTTTATACAAATGCACAATGGTTTATTGTTAAAAAAAAATATCCATCAAAATCAATGAATTATCCAAATCCTGGTAAAAGAAGTATAACAGAAGAAGAATTAAAATTATTAAATATTGATTGTTCTATTCCTTATTCAAATTTCAATTCATATAAAGAAAAAACTGCACGATTATTATCATGTAATCATCACAAATTACCATTAACAATAATCAATGATTCATCATCATCATCATCGAATTCAAATAGTATTGAAGATGAATTATATTCTATACCTCAATTTATTTCTCAAATACGAAGGACTCCACGTTCTATTCCACCTTATTTTAATGAACATCCTGATTTATTCAATAGACGACGATTACTCAAACGTTTAAGACGATTTACAAACAAATAATTGACAAACCGTGAAAATTTCTAATGATATAATTAGCTTCTAGTTGCATTTATATATATATATATATATGAATTTTGTGGTATTTAAAGAACTGAGAAAGAATAAACCAATCTAAATAAGTATTCAATATATTCTCTCTTTTTTGTTGTTGTTGTTGTTATAAAATAAACATTTATTTTATTTTTTTTTTTAATGGTATGAATGAACATCAAAAAAAAAGTACTGTTCATTTATCATCAAACCACGTACGGGCTGAATCTTCATTTATAGCATAGGGATGATCGCTAATCATTAAATCACTACGTTTACCCCAACCTAAAAATGAACAAAAATATAGATCGATCTAGAAAAAAAAGAAACAGAATATTATTTAAACATACCAACACCCTTTCGTTTAACTAGTGGTGGAACATAATCATCCTCTTGATATTCATGAATTGGATATGACCAAGAAAATTTTTTTACTGCTGTTGGACGTGCATCAATAGCAATTCGACTGATAAAATATTGGTAGATGATTAAAGTAATGATGAAGAAGAAAAGCTTCATATTGAACTGATTATATGTTAACCAATTGATGAAAATGAAAATAGGAAATGACTTGACGCGAGAATTAAACTGTAAGAAGAAAAAAAAAAAGAAATAGCAAATCACGGTGTTTGTCTCGTACAAATCGGTGATTTTAAATACTGAGTTTCGTTGCAATGAATGAGAAAAAAATAGCGAGAGAGTGAAAAAAAGAGAGAGAGAGAGAGAGAGAGAGGTAATTAAATATATTTCACATAAATATTGCTTATTTAATTCATATATTTTGTATTCAATTGAAAAGTTTTAATACTATCCAGGATATTACACATTAGTACATAGATTAAGAGAAACGTGAAAGGGTACTAAATAAAAGTCAATGTTTTTTTTTTTGTTAACATGATGTCTATCTATTCATAACTTGTTCTCAGCAATTTACCATTTATTCATTTTTTAATAACTATATGAGTAAAAACACGCCTTCTCAATAGTCGGAGGCGGTATTATTCTTTTTTCTTCACGATCAATTGCACAAACATTGAAAAAAAAATTGTGAATAAATATCAATCGATTGTTAACATTATATTTGTAGCTAGATTTTTTTTTTTGATTGAATCAATTGATTATTTCTGGTAGATTGGCATTACGTGACAAGGACAAGTAATGAAATGTTGTTTTATTTTAATTACAAAAATTGAAAATAGTCTAAAAGAATTTGACTCTTTTTTTTTCTTCAATCAAATCTTGAAATTTTCTATTTCTAAATATGTTTAGTTTTATTAATTTCCATGTTTCAAAATAAGTCTTATGTACAATGGAATGAATTTTTGGGACCATGTAAATAGTTAAAACATTTTTTTTTATTTAGAAGTAAAGAACAATAGTGATTTTTTTTGTTGTTGTTTTGAATTCAAATCAAATCATTATCTATCTGTAAACATGAGAAATTTTGAATATATAAATATCAATTGTAAACAATGTGATGAACTGCTGTTTTTTTTATTATTCTTTTATTCAAATGAAAATAATAAACAAAACAAAACTTCTGTTTAGCTAATATTTTGATTATTATCAGAGCATGTCAATTTAATAAGCAACTAATAATATTAAATTTGAAATTATCTATATAAACGATATGCATAATCATTATTATCATCTAATGCTGTTATTAATAGTATATTATAACTCTTTATATTTAGAATTTTTTTAAAGTTAATTCATTGAGAACAAATTTTTGATGATGGTCAAAAAAGACCGATATTTGTACAACACAATTCAGTTAGAACCAGAATTTGATGATCTTTCTGTCGATGTATTTTCAAAAGGCTAGTATTTATTTGAGTAATTTTATATTATTAAATGTACAATAGTTAATTCATTCAGTAGTAATAGTAATTTCATATTTTAGCAATAAAACAAAGAAAAACTATATTATTTTATATGAATTAGAAAAATAAAAAAGTTATTTGTAATTGAAAAAGAAAAGAAAAATGAAAAATACAGTATATTACTGTGTGAATAAAGCTTTTTCTTTTTATATTTCATTTTGTAAAATTGAAAAAATACGTATTTGTATATATAAATGAGTTCATATTGCCCTTTGTTAACGAGTGATTGATCTAATAGATCAATACTGAACTACTACTTTATTGCTGAGACGGTAATTATATGTATATATATATATACACGAATGAACTAGAAAAAAACCAAACGTCCTAGAAAGAAAATATGACGAAGAAGGAAATATATCTGAACAACATCAAGAGAAGAGAAATATTCAAATGAGGGAAGGGAAAGAAGAAAGAAAGAAAACAAAAGATATATGTATATATTGGAGTTGATTTTAAAATTCGGTCCCCTTTTAAAAGCGACTAGTTGACTTCAAAATAAATTTTAAGTTCAACTAGTTGATTTTGAAATATTTTAAAGTCAACTCCCACATATATGTGTCGTACTTGTTATCTGTACAATATCGTAGAAGAGAAAAAAGGTAAAAAGAAAAGATATATCAGCGAATCACACTATAATACCCTTTTTATATAAAATTTACCTTTAATTTAAATAAATTATTGCTCATTCAGTATAATTATTGCTTATTCAGTATAACTATTGCTCATTCTATATAATTATTGCTCATTCCATATAATTATTGCTAAAATTCATTACCGCTCATTTAATTTTTTTTATTGCTAAATTTCATTATTGCTCATTTAAATTATTTTATTGCTCAATTAAATGTAAGTCTTTTCAAAATGTTTTTTTTTTCTGATTTACAGTTGGTTAACTGTACGTAAATATTGAAAATAAATATAGGATATTGTTTGCACCAAGT